CGCTCGCGCACCGGCCATCCCTATATAGGATCCGAACCCGCGGTGGGAGCGCTGCAGCGCTCCCAACGCCGCACTCTCCTGAGTGCGCCGTGGGCTCAGCCCCTACAACGGTTTTTGAAAGGTGGGAATGCTTAGACGCCTACCTCATGCAAATAACAAAAATTAACTCAAAATTGATCAAAGACCTAAATTTATGAACTAAAACTATTTAAAACTCTTGGAAAACATAGGTGTAGATCTTCATGACCTTGGACTAAGTAATGGTTTCTTGGATATGACACCAAAAGCACAAGTAACCAAAAATAAATAAATTGGACTTGATCAATATTAAAAACTTTTGTCAAAGCACACTATCAAGAAAGTGACAATAACCCACAGAACAAGAAAATACTTACAAATATGAGGATCTACTATCCAGAATATGCAAAGAACTCTTGTACCTCAACAATAAAAACACAACCCAATTAAAAGATGGGCAAAGGATTTAAATAGACACTTCTTTTAAAAAAATATACCAATGGCCAACACATAAAAAGATGCTCAATGTCCTACTCATTTAGGAAATGCAAATCAGAACCACAATAAAATACTTCACACCCACTAGGATGCCTATAATCCAAAAAATGGGAAAATAAGCGTTGAGGTAAAGAAACTGGAACCCTCATAGATTGCCGGTGGGAATGTAAAATGGTGCAGCTGCTGTGAGAAAGTCTGGCAATTTCTCAGAAAGTTAGTTACCATATAACCCATCAATTCTATTCCTAGGTATATGCTCAAATGAATTAAAACCATGGCCACATACAACCTGTATGCCATATTCATAGCAGCATTATTCATAATAGCCAAAAAGTAGAAACAACCCAAATGTCCAACTGATGGGTAAACAAAATGTGGTATATCCATCTGATGGAATATTATTTGACAATAAAAGGAATGAAGTACATGCTACAACATGAATGAAACTTAAAAACATTATGCTAACCAAGAGAAGCCAGTCACAAAAAAACTAGATTGACTGATTCCATTTAGATGAAATGTCCATAGTAGCCTCATCTACCAAGATAGAAAGCAGATTAGTGACTGCCTAGGGCTGGGGGAGAGGAGAGAGTGGTGTTACCTGGTAATAGGTATGCAGCTTCTTTCTGGGGTGATAAGAATATTCTGGAATTAGACAGTGGTGNCACCTTCTGTTATGGAAATAGAAATGGAGGAGCTTGATAAATGGATGAACAGCATGAATAGAAATGGTATGTGGTAACCCAACGTTTTTTCTTTCCTCTTTAGTCATAGAAGGCTGCAACAGCTTTATAAATACAAATACCTCACTAAATTCTGGAGTGTGACATTAGACCTAGTGCAGGCAGATAATAAATTTGGGCCCGATGGCCCTTAAATATTCAGTTTAATTAGTGCATCAACTGTTGCCATTTGTTTTTATTTCTAAACAGGTTGTTGAAATGATTTTTTTTCAAGCCGAAAATGATCTCTTTTTCACATGAAGAAATCTCTGAGACCAAATTATCTGGGAAAAGTGGCATCTGAAATTACCTTATATATTATTAATTTAGAGTTCTATAATTTAAAACTGTGTATGGATATAAAATGTTATTAAATATCATTTATGTAGATCTGTGCTGTCCAACACAATAGATATTAGTCAAATGTGGCTATTTAAATTTAAATTAATTAGAATTAATAAAATTAAATTTTAGTTTCAGTAGCCACATTTTGAGTGCTTAGTAGCCAATGGCTGGCATATTGAACAGTGTGAATCTAGAACATTTTCATCACTACAGAAAGTTCTATTGGACAGCACATACATATACAGATGGTAATGTAAGTAGCCCCATATAACTTAATTTCCAATTGATATCTGAGAGTAATGGTACTTTATGTTCCTTCCTTTCCATTAAATCAAAAATTAAACTTAAAAATAATAACAGCTGTTTTTTCCTTTTTTTATTCCTTCAAGAAATCAATGTGTTATTCTAATGCTTAGATTAATAAAATCCACTATTTATATTTCCGTATCACTTGTGTTTTTTTTTTTTTTTTTTGTTTTTTGTCTTTTTCCGTGTCCGGCAACGGATCGCAACCCTCATGGTTGCCCCCGCACCGGACCGGGGACCGGCAACGGAACCGCAACCCTCGGCGTTGCTCCCGCGCCTCGCTCAGCCAGTGAGCGGGAACTGGTCTGTATGTGGGATCCGAACCCTCGGGCGGGAGCGCCGCCGCACTTCCCAAGCGGCGCACTATCCAGTGCGCCACCGGGCTGGCCCCTAAAATCCACTATTTATATTTCCGTATCACTTGTGTTTTTTTTTTTTTTTGTTTTTTGTCTTTTTCCGTGTCCGGCAACGGATCGCAACCCTCATGGTTGCCCCCGCACCGGACCGGGGACCGGCAACGGAACCGCAACCCTCGGCGTTGCTCCCGCGCCTCGCTCAGCCAGTGAGCGGGAACTGGTCTGTATGTGGGATCCGAACCCTCGGGCGGGAGCGCCGCCGCACTTCCCAAGCGGCGCACTATCCAGTGCGCCACCGGGCTGGCCCCTAAAATCCACTATTTATATTTCCGTATCACTTGTGTTTTTTTTTTTTTTTGTTTTTTGTCTTTTTCCGTGTCCGGCAACGGATCGCAACCCTCATGGTTGCCCCCGCACCGGACCGGGGACCGGCAACGGAACCGCAACCCTCGGCGTTGCTCCCGCGCCTCGCTCAGCCAGTGAGCGGGAACTGGTCTGTATGTGGGATCCGAACCCTCGGGCGGGAGCGCCGCCGCACTTCCCAAGCGGCGCACTATCCAGTGCGCCACCGGGCTGGCCCCTAAAATCCACTATTTATATTTCCGTATCACTTGTGTTTTTTTTTTTTTTTGTTTTTTGTCTTTTTCCGTGTCCGGCAACGGATCGCAACCCTCATGGTTGCCCCCGCACCGGACCGGGGACCGGCAACGGAACCGCAACCCTCGGCGTTGCTCCCGCGCCTCGCTCAGCCAGTGAGCGGGAACTGGTCTGTATGTGGGATCCGAACCCTCGGGCGGGAGCGCCGCCGCACTTCCCAAGCGGCGCACTATCCAGTGCGCCACCGGGCTGGCCCCTAAAATCCACTATTTATATTTCCGTATCACTTGTGTTTTTTTTTTTTTTTGTTTTTTGTCTTTTTCCGTGTCCGGCAACGGATCGCAACCCTCATGGTTGCCCCCGCACCGGACCGGGGACCGGCAACGGAACCGCAACCCTCGGCGTTGCTCCCGCGCCTCGCTCAGCCAGTGAGCGGGAACTGGTCTGTATGTGGGATCCGAACCCTCGGGCGGGAGCGCCGCCGCACTTCCCAAGCGGCGCACTATCCAGTGCGCCACCGGGCTGGCCCCTAAAATCCACTATTTATATTTCCGTATCACTTGTGTTTTTTTTTTTTTTTGTTTTTTGTCTTTTTCCGTGTCCGGCAACGGATCGCAACCCTCATGGTTGCCCCCGCACCGGACCGGGGACCGGCAACGGAACCGCAACCCTCGGCGTTGCTCCCGCGCCTCGCTCAGCCAGTGAGCAGGAACCGGTCCTATGTGGGATCCGAACCCTCGGGCGGGAGCGCCGCCGCACTTCCCAAGCGGCGCACTATCCAGTGCGCCACCGGGCCGGCCCCTCACTTGTGTTTTTAACATTCATCTTAAAAAATACCCTGTGGTCAGATTCAAACCTCTACCACAGAGTTCTTAAATTCAAAGATTTATTATTAGAATTATTGTACCAGAGGCTTATCAAGATGAGCTTGCCAAAATATTAGAACCACTCAATGAACCTGTACAATTTCTAACAGTTTTTCATATTAAGGGAAGAAAGGCTGTGGAAAGCATTTGAAGATAGGAGTGGGTCATCGAGATAGTCCTTAAAGTAGTTTCATTTTATTGTTTTTAGTTTATAAAAGTTATATATACATATATATGAATTTAGAAAATGAAAAAAAAGGAAAAACTCCATCACCCAAGACAATCTCTCTTAATATGTGGTTTTCCCTTTTGTGCCTGAGATTTTGTGTAATACAAAATTATGATCCTATCACACTCACCAGAAAATTGAAAAAGGCATTTCTATGTAACTACTAAAGCAGGCAGTTATTTTGACACATAGTTGGCAGATACGAAGGATTTCTTTTCCCTTGAAAATGAGTGGTGCAATAGAAAGGAGCTCTGATGACTTTAAGAAGTTTGGTGTTCCCCACTTACCTGCTGCTTTTCTATTGTGGAGTCTGACTGAAATCATTCTGCAGACACACCAGGACCTCAGGTGAAGCCATTTTATTCTAGTGTCTATCCTGAAATATGCAGATTCTAGCTTTTGGAGCCTTGGGGTTCTACAGGGACTAAATAACTGAGGAGTGATGAATTGTACTCTTTCCAACAGGGGCAGAAGCACGTTCAAGTCTCCTATCTGTGTGTTATTAGTGCTTTTCTCATTTCAAGAGCCTTGCCATTATTAGTCTTTTAACCTCTAGAACTCCCTGGTGAGGCCATTTCTGCAAAAGTAACCACACCGATCAGGGAAATTCGATGCTCAACTGTGTCAGTCTTTTAACTAAAAAATAGAATTTCAGCGACTAACAATGAGTTTGCTTTTCTTCTGTCCTAGCTGACAGTGAATGTTTACCTACTTTGAAGGAAGAAAAGGAATCAAACCACAACCCAAGGTACTTCTGATTTCTACCGCAGATTATATGTGTATGGTGGGGAGGGGGTGGAAACCATAGGGAAGCACTTTTTGCTTGCCTTTTCTGTAAATTTTATTTTATTTTATTTTTTTATGACAGTGAATGTTTACCTACTTTGAAGGAAGAAAAGGAATCAAACCACAACCCAAGGTACTCCTGATTTTACCGCAGATTATATGTGTATGGTGGGGAGGGGGTGGAAACCATAGGGAAGCACTTTTTGCTTGCCTTTTCTGTAAATTTTATATGACAATTTACATGTGTGTATATGTGTGTAGTGTGGAGAAAAGGAATTGTGAGTTACAGAAAATAGCAGGCTACAAAGTAAATATCCTAGTGTCCCTTTATCTTTAGAAATAAATTAGTGCTGACACTGTCTTGCCCTTGTAATGAGACACTGTTGGGTTGGCTTCTGTTTTAGTCATAAAACTTTCCAATTATAACAAACCATAGGTTTATTTACTTTGGATAAGTAGATGTTTGGTAAGGAAGACAGATGGGGATATAAACAAGACTGAGTAAAATGAACATTTTTAAAAAACAGACAAAAAACCCCAACCCACCTGGATTGGATTGTTTATTAAATGAGAAATAAAAACAAACAAACAAACAAAAAACCATTCTGTCCGACCACTAGGTGGCTCTGCTTGACAGAAAATTTTAGTGTATTGGGGTTTGGGTGTATTTTTGTACTCCACAATCTCATTTAAATTATATTATCTTTTTGTGAGGATGGAAATTACCATCTTGGGGTGGTTTTGATCAGAGAATTGTTTGGTCGGGACAAGGGAAGTGCTTGAAGGAAATAGGATTGATGATTAAGCATGTTGGGTACTTGCTCTGCAGAGCACCACTGTAATCTTGGGGGCACTGAGTTGTTGGCCCAGATGACCCATGGATGGCCAGAGAGCAGAGAACTTGAGCCTGTACCAGATATTACACTTTTGTCAGAATAAATAGAATAAACCTTCAGGGTGGGGTAAATAGTCACCCTCCATGTTAGCCAGAGGTCATGTGCCAGTCATCTCAAATGCTTCCAAGGGCCGGCCCGTGGCTCACTCGGTAGAGTGCGGTGCTGATAACACCACGGGTTGGAGTGCGGTGCTGATAACACCAAGGCCACGGGTTCGGATCCTATATAGGGATGGCCGGTTTGCTCACTGGCTGAGCGTGGTGCTGACAACACCAAGCCAAGGGTTGAGATCCCCTTACTGGTCATCTTTAAAAAAAAAAAAAAAAATGCTTCCAGAATGCAGTTATGTGTCGTTGGGCAGTCCCTGAGGCTGGAGCATCGCAAGGGAAGACTGATTATTAAACAGTGATTGGGGTAGTCAGATACTTGTCTTTGGACCCTTTTCTGCATCTTCCGCCTAAAGCTTACCTAAGAATTTGCCACCCTACATCTCTTTCCACATCACACTACCACAATCTTACTCAGGTAAACCTCAGCTCTGATACTGAAGTCTACACCATATTGTAGATTTAAGTCTGTGTTCCCATTCTAGGTATTTGCATGATAAGATTCATCGCTGGTTCAGAAAAGATTCTATTCTATTAAATGAGATTCCAGATATCAACAAGCAGATAAAAGGAAAAATATGCCAGGGGGAACATTACAAAGGAATATTTTCCCCATATTTTTACCTTACCTAAAAACAAGCCACTACATTTGTCCAGTAAAGGGCTCAGAACACTACCAAGAGTCCGTAAACATCTTATTTCTCTAGTGCTGATAGGCACCCTCAAATGATGTGAAATGTCAGTGGTTTTTACATACCTGCCTCTTGCTCTTTGAAATTGCTGGCGACAGGGAAGAAGCTTAACATTACAGAATTGTATGATGGTGAGAGCTTCTTAAAAATCCGATTTTGGGAATATTGAGAAGCTGGTGTTTGAAATAAGCTGTAGCTCATTTCTGCCTGTAAGGGAAAAAGCCTTAACCTATTTGGAAAGCTGCTTTATGGTAAATTACTATTTTTCAAGGGAATGTCTACATTCCTCTGTGAGCCCAGAACTATCTGACTTTAATTCACAGGATGATTGTCAGGCCTTTCTCTCATTTCCTCTCTGTGAAGCCAGACCCAGAATTCTAGAACCAAGAGTGACAAGTCCCAGGTCTTTGTGCCACAGACTCTTTCTGATTACTTCAAAGGGTATTATGATATTGCAAAGAAAAGTTACCTTTTGCTCACTGAAAACTAGGAAAAGGACAAAGCAGTTAGAACAAAACCTTGCACAAAATAAGCTCTCAGTAAGTATTGGTTGTTATAATTATTAATAAATTAAAACAGATGTACAGAAACTCACTGCCTTTTGGGCTAATATTTGATATTTTAGGCTAATATTTGATATTTGATAGCACTTGATATTGGTAGGTGGGGCATTTTTTGCGCCTTTGGTTTTCTTGGTGATTTCTTTTCGGACCTACCAATCCTGAGAAATCAGGAATTTATTTGACTCCTGATGAGACTTTCAGCTCTCTTCCCTTAATGGCATAAATAACTAATGCTGGTGATTTCAGAATCATCCGCTTATCAATCTGTAGTTTTTGAAAGGATATTAGTACCATAAAGTTTGGATAATCTTTCTTTTCTGTCACAATTTTATTTACATATCTTTTTCCTAATGTCTTAATTGCATTGATAAAGTGTTTACTTTAAATATCTAATCTGCAACAGAAATAAGATCTGGGGTTTTTTCCAAAAAGCTTGAGAATTGTTAGAGATACAGATGGAAAGTGCATTGGTCGTTGGACTTAGAATCAGAAGACTAGTTTTAAGACCTGACTTCAGTGATCATCTGTTCTTTAGACTGAGACAGGTCACTGTAGCTCCCTGAGCTTCTGTTTCCTTGTGTTGAAAAATGTAAATAAGAACACCTGTCTTTCTAGTTTCACAGGATCATATGAGAGAATAAAACCACTATGTAATTTTTAAAGCACCATGCAAATGAAACTAACTCTTTTTATGCTGTAACAATAGTTTTCCCCCTTGTCTACCTTCGCTGCCACCACTGTTTTTTTTTTTTTTTTTAATCATTTTTTAGGGCAGTTTTAGGTTCACAGCAAAATTGAGCAGAAAGTACAGAGATTTCCCATGTACCCCTGCCCTCACATATGAATAGCCTCCCCCATCACTGACATCCCCCACCAGAGCTGTACATTTGTTACACAATAAACCTGCATCGACATATCATTATCACCCAAAGTTCCCCATTGGCTTTTACCTCTGTGAATCATCCTTCCTCTATCATTTTAGCAATGTGCAGGTGAATTTCATGCTTCAAAAAGTATGTAACAGTCACTGAAGATTAAATTTAGTGGAACACATACCGATGTTTTCTGCATCCTCCTGATAAACTTAGACTTCTAGAATCCATTGACAGAGTTCATCCTTCCTTGATGTTAGAGACATCCCTGCCATAGAACCTCTATTATATATTAAGTCCACCATGCTTCTGAGAAAAAGGAGTCAATCTGGTCACCATCCTACACTTAATATACCACACATTGTGCAAAGACTTCAACCCTTCACCCTTCTCTTGTTGGGATCTGTAATCTCAGGTCTTTCAGAGCTTTTTCCATAAATCCCGTTGGCCAGCCTTATTCATTACTTTCCTCTGAAGGGACATTTTTCTTGAGCTATGGAATCTAAAATTTAGCGCAGAATTTTAATAAGGACCAGAGATGTACAAAATACTATGGGAAGTTTACACTATGGTTTTCATGTTTTTAAAAACTCAATAGATAAAGCAATAAAGGAATTGTGAGGGAGGGGAGAGTTCTATATTCCCCACCTTATTTTTCTCTCTAATCCCTCAAAAGTCATTTGAAAGTATACTTCAAGTCAGCAAATATTAAGTGCCTACTGGCTTCCCTCAAATTTGAGTTTGGTATTATGATACAAAATAACAGTTTATAATCCTTCAGGATTATAACCTCAGATAACATTGTAAAATGCAGGTAGGTGTGTGTGTGTGTGTGTGTGTGTGTGTGTGTGTGTGTGTGTGTGCTATGTGAGAGATGATTGCTACATTTTAAAAACCAGAGCATTGCTTGAATAGTGGCCCAGAGTATGTCTACACAATGGGTGTGATCTATATGTCTTGGACTAATTCTAGGCCTGACTCTGATGTTGGCCAGATGCGTGACCTCTGTAATTCCACCTTCTTGTGGAAGGAGAAGGGACATTATACTAATGAAGAGAAAGGGAGCCAGATCTAATTGTTACATGACTTTCTGCTAAACTGAACTCTGCACTCCCCCAAAACGGAGTTAAAAAGCATCATAACACAAGAAAGTTTAGCATAGGTTTATTGCCATCTTTGGAGATAGGGTACATTAGCTGAGGTCATAAAGAGGGATTGTTACAGGATAGACTGGTCAGGAGAACAAAGATGACTTATCTGATCCTGACTGCAACAAAGGGGCAGTTATGAAACAAGGTATTCAAGTTGCATCTGTCCTCATTTAACTGGTGGCATGCCAATTAAATGCCTTCTTAAAGATCATAGTAAGATGATGTTTTCTAATCAATTCAATTTGTTTTTATTTGTCAGCCTGTTACTATACAGGTTTTTGGGAAAGGTGTTCCACATTCTTAAAGTATCTATATAATGCTCCTAGAAAAATTACTCATGTTGCTGTCATATAGATAAGTTGCTAAAATCTCGTGTATTGAGGCACACAGGTATTGATATTCAATGCTGTACCCCACAGATATGTACAATCAATTATGTTTCAATTAAAAAAAATAAGTATAGAGGGGAAAAAAACGTGGAGGCAAGCCATAGAGGTTTGCAGCAGATTTAGAGCTGGCCAGTTACTCAGTAGGTTAGAGCACAGCCTTATAACACCACAGGCCACAGGTTCAAATTCCTGTACCACAGGCTGCAAAAAAAAAAAAAACAAACCCCAAAATCTTCTTATTAGTGAAGCAGGATCCCTTATTTTATTTGTTGCAATTCTATGGCAGTTTGCC